AACTGATCATATGCAATCATAACAATAAACCGGGAATTACAAGATTTCCAAAATTTATTTAAAAAACAACTCAAAGGTTAATAATAAACATGTGACTCATAAAGTCATCTGAACTCGCAATAATGAACGCTTTGTCACTTTGTTGATAAGCTTTACAAATCCAGTGATATTAACCCAGTACTGTATTGTATAAAATTGAAGATAATGCCAAAGCGCCAAATTTAAAATTTTTAATTCATCTAACAATTTATACTTTCACACTTATTAATTCACTTGATAGAAAATAAAATTTAGACTTTCATAATTTGCGATTCAAACAAATCGATTTTATTTAAAACAAAAAATTTAAATTGCGACCACATCACTAAAGCCAAGTGCGTTTATTAATATAATCGTGGAATTCACTGGATTCAGAGTTGATTGAAAAGAGCAATAAGAATAACAATTACAATAAGAAGCAATATGATCAAGAAATATACATATAATTGGATAATTTGTTTAATTAAAAAAAAATATACAAATTGATTATAACTATTATACCAATTAGATATTATTAGAGGTATAGTAAAATAATAAATTTAAATTATTTTTTATTTAATAATTTAATATTAAAAATTTGATAATAGAAAATAAACAAATTGTAAATAGAATTATAAATCAATAGAAAAAATATAATAAAATGCCAACCTTGGGAACCACATAAACACTCTAAACTATATTTTTATCATAATGATTTTTTAAATATTTATAAACACTCTACACTTAATCGAAAAAGTGAATTACTACATAAATTATTTCTGCTTTATCGTAATTTTTAGATTTCATGATGTCATCCAAAGTCAATTATGAGATGAATGGTATTATTTGATTTGCTTTTAAGACTGTATGTGCTTGCAATAATCTAAGGACTGAATGTCTTAGGTATAATCGAATTTAAAATCAAACGTGATATTGTAACTAAGAGTGACTTAGGAGAAGTTAATATAAAATATGTACTTAAAGGTTCTGAAACTGGCAAGATTACTAAAATACTCAATAATAATAACTTTTGATATGTAAATCTGATGGTAAAGAATGTTGTAAGATTTATTCTGTGAAGGGATGAATTTTGTAACATAACTTAATCAAGTGTGAGTTATTTTAACTTTTTTTTTAGAGATTGAGAAACGTGATATCGTTCGAGCTCTTAGTCCTTAACATCGTTAAGGACTAAATAAGAGCATAGACTAGAATTTTTATTACCTAATAGGATGAATACTTTAGAAAGACAAAAGCGAACTCTTGATAAAATATATGCAGCTAGGTTATGAGCAATTCACTGGTACTTTCAAAATTAACTATTCTTTGTTCTCATTCATAATTGTGTATTTTTTGTTCATTCCTATACTATTGTTTTTTTACAATTAACGGTTTTATATTCACTTTTTTTTGTAAATATATATTTTATTTTGGAGGTTTTTATTCTTCATCCTCTTTATCAGAATTTCTCATTTTTTTTATGTGATGCTACTAGGTTGGTGAAATACAAGTATTAGGTTAATTATTATTAAAGTAACATGCAGGTAATATTTCTACGTTGTTTTTCAGGATTAGAACTTACATGAAACATTTTAATCAGCTTCTTTAGTTGAATAGCAGAATATTTGCTTCTAAGTGAATTTCTCTAAGATGTTGATTATGGATGCCCCAAAGGGCCATTTCATGATACTAATTTAAACGCAGATATTTATGGTAATGAATTTATTTAATTGGTTTAAATTTTTTTTTAAATAAAAAAACAAAGTAAATTATATTGAATAATGTAAATTGAATTTCATATTTAATTATTTAAAAGAACTTTAATTGAACTTTACAGTACTTTTACATAATAGACCGCTTTATTTTGAGACAAATAAAAAATTTTAAGTATTTCTTGTATAAGATAAAAAAATGCTTCGGAACTGGATTTAGTACTAAGTAACCCTCACTTTGAGCTTAACAAAAGTTGTTTTTTAGAACAACTTTTGTTAAGCTCAAAGGGAGGGTTACTTAGTATTAAATCCAGTTCCGAGATAATTTTTTATTTTGGGGATGCACATTTATATAAAAAAAAATTTTTTGTTTAATATTTTGTGCAAAATATTACAGATATTTTGTATAACAAAAACTTTTATTTAAGTAAATATTACACATGTACATTTTTTTAAACAAAAATTTTCTACTATTTAATTATATAACTAATAGTTATAAATACCTAATCTTTAAATAAACCTATCTTAATGAATTTTAATCCGAATTTAATAATTCCACTATCATTAGAATCATAAAACTCTGCTTTACAACTTTGCATAAAAGTCTAAAAGCAGTTAAGCTAGCGCTAGTAAAAATATTTCAAACACCAAAATAAAAAAAATTACGATTAAATTCATGACAAGTGATCTACGTGTGTAAAAGAATGATGAATTTATTGATAGAAATTAAAAAATAATTCTATATTTTGCGTGGTATTTCTCCTTTTTATGCCCTCAAGATAATCGGGTGCAAATTCTGTTTAACATAAAACTTTTTTCATAGAAATTTGATAAGTAAATTGAATATTTATAAAGACTGAAAACAAAAAAGTTAAATGTTGCGAGAAAGTAAGGCACTTTAAAGAAAAATAATTTCACCCGAGCCCAACTCTATAACTTCTAATAAATGATGTGGTGTGACCCCATACTAAAAATAACTTATGCAAATTTTTTATTTTCAAATAACAAATATTATTATAAATAATAATAAAAAATATTGGATGCGAAAAGATTTGAACGTTGCATATTTAGTTCAATGATTTTATATAATTAAGCACATTGGTCAAAAAACATTTTATTCTTAATTATGATTAAAAATTTTGTTCTAATATAAATTATAGTTAATTATAGTGATTTGAACAAATAATGAGTGATAAATTAAACCAGACTTAACATTCGAGACTACTTGTAATGAATCAAAAAAAAACGTAATTTTAATAATCTCCCTTTAACAAAATGTTCGAAAACACGTATAATTCGATCTCTATTTACATAAATGGTCAGGTCAATAACAAAACTGCCCACCACTCACAATAATAAAATTGATAATAAAACTCAATTAATGCGAAACCTTAGGTCTATTCAATTTTTTTTATATTTTAGAGGTGTTGATAGCGTTGCATGGACAGTCTTCTCAAGGAAGTCTCTTGCCAAATTAATTTCTTCAAGAGGAGAGGAATCTGATTTAATTCTTTCAATTTCTTTTTCGATTTCTTTTAATATTTTTAAGTTTTTATTAACAGTTTTCTACAAAGAAAAAAAACCATAATTGTAAATATTGAAGTAGATATGATAACCACACAGTAATAGACGAACCCTAATATAGATTAATAAACTCAGCAAAAAGATTGAATCTGAAATATTGTCAGATTTTACGGGAACTCTAGCTTCGCCTATAGGAAAACATAACCGAAGTTGGTAATTATCCATAAGCTTAATAGCTATCAAAGAAAATCTTCCCTCTAAAAAATTGATTAAATAAATTTGCGTACACTTTATATCTGTATAAAGAAAACAATAACCACTTACCAGCAACAAAAATTGCTATCCATCTTAATTTCTTTAAAAGATTTTCCAGTATATTTGTAATATTCTTAGCATCCTTTGCTATATAAATTAGAAAACTATTTATTGCATCACTTATTGATCGTAAGAGTTTATCATAAACTCTGTGAAAGGGTCATTAGGAAGTTTTGCTTCTACAATTAGAAGGTATGCTAAGTTATTTCTATATGTATATGTAAGGGCTGTATCAACCTTCTTAGAATAAACTCGAACATAGGTAATCTCTGGTTTCGCATCTTCATTTAATAGAATAGTAGCATTTGATAGAAAAATAATAGGTTCATTATCGATTTGATTTTTAATTATAACTTTTTCTTCAACAATAATGTTTTGATCATTGAGCTCGTCCAGTACATCAAATATACTTCGAGATTCCTCTAAGTCTGATGGCCACTCGCCATACGGCGGATAATGATGCCAACTCCTTTTTTCAAAAGAACATTTAGTTTCATGTTCAGGACTGTTAATAAATATAAATAAATTGAACAATATTCTTCTAACTCAACTCAATTTAAAAGAGATATAGCTAGCTACCCATAGAGATGAATTTCTAAGTATAGTAAATTATACAAAATTATTTGAAGTGGTCGATAAATGTAAATCTCCACATAATACGATTCAGACATTACAGGTGACGGATTAACCCACTCTCTAAACCTGAAAAGATTATTAATACTAATTTCACAGTAAATCTATGAACATAAACACTTATTTTCTTACCAATTTTCTAAGATGTTAATATATGTTGCTTTATCCTTCGCTTCAAATCCATTTATTTCAATTATTGGAGCACATTCTGAATTCATTTCATATTTATGTAAGGCATTTGTTATTCCGAAATAAATATTTTCATATTCTGAAGAAGAAAATTCAAAAATTTTATCCGGAAAAAGCAGCTTAATTTGATTTTTATCGAAAATTTGATGCCAAATTTTTTCACCAAATTTACTTATGTCTATAATGTTGCAAAAAATAGGGTTCATGATGGGAACATCAAACAATTCATCTTCGTAATCTTTTAGTTTCTTTAAACACTCTGAAAACCAAGAAGGAAGACCGCTTTGTAACTAATTAATAATGATTAATGATTATTAATTATTGCAGTACAATTTAACACCACAGAATTTTATTGTCAAAAATAATTTACCATCATCTCCGCATAATTATTTATAATATTAGACTTTATACCTTTTTCAGCCTTCAGGATGATTGTCCTAATTTGTTGTTCTGAAAGGTTTGCAATGTATTTTGCAGTGTACTTTAGAACATTTACGTCCTCACATGAACTAATCAAAATTTGAACTTTATTAATAAGAGATTCATAGTTCTTAGGTCCTAAATTAAACAATACATATATTATTGAATGCCAAAAAATAAATTAACAGTATGAAATAATATTACCGATATAATGGATTGCTGCAACATCAGCCCAAAATTGAAGGATCGGATAATATCCTTTGGTATATACTTTCTATTTAAATAAATTACATTTAGAATTAATAAATATATTACGGAATGTTTGTAGATAACAATTACTCTAATACACTCTGAATAATATAATTACTGAAACTATCCAAATGCACGATGCAATTATTCATATACAAACATGCAATAGTCTAATAAATAGATTATTTGAAAGGTTTCAGTATATTATATAAATTCAACTCAAGCTGCATAACGTAATATTTCACATACGGCATGTATGATCTAGAAAAAGAGATCGCTTGGCATCTTCCTTAACGCTATAAATGTAATCCAAGAGCACGAAGTAATAACTCACATACGACGTACTAAATATTGAAAATATTACTTGAAAATTTATAATCAAGTAATCTGAACTTATAATATATTTATCATAAATATATCTTTAAGTAGTAGATTACTTGGAAGATTTAAATATGATGCATATGTTTTCAATCATTGCGCTTAAAAAAATTGCATATTAAATATAATTTCATTCACCTTATACATATCTAGCACATTCTCCAGGTCTTTTTTGCCAAGTTTTCCCCATGTTTGAATTCTACGATTGTCTATATGCAAAAAAATAAAATTTAATTATAATGATTTTTGATAAAATTTCTTCTAGGAATTATTACCTATTTTCTTTTTAATTCCGTTATAGTATTCTTGGTGCACAGATGACTTATCCTCCCAATTAAGTGTTTCTGATCTTTCTGCGATGGTCTTTTAACAAAATAGTAAGAAATTATATAAGCTTATTTCTTCAATTCTGTCAGGCGCTTTATGTTTTTTTGAAAACTTCTTGAAAACTTTAGCAAAATCCTGTTTGTACATAATGACAGTATTACTATATTTTGTAATGTAAACAATGTAGATCCACCAGTAGTTATCGAAAAAAATTTACCAGATCATGTGCTGTAGATCATCTGACCAATAAGGCCTTTTGCCCGAATGGTTATATTTTATTTAGAATTTTACATGAGCAAATCGCAATTACAAAATACTGTATAATGTGGCGTTTTGCCAGATGGTTATCGTTAGTTCTTTTCAAAAATCAGCACTATTATGTTTTCACAAATAAAGTATTCTATCGCTATGATTAGGGTTCCGCAATTTGATTTGAACTTCAAATATTTGAATCAAATATTTGATCAAATTCAAATTCAAGTTTGACTATATTTGATTTGATCAAGTTCAAATATGATCAAATTTGATTTGATTTGACAAATATTTGATTTGATTTGAAAAATTATTATAAACCGTTTATATTTAAAACCCATTTACTCAAAATTTTATTAAGATAATCAACTTTTTCATTTTACAAAACTAAAGTATTTTAATTAAAAGAACATTTTTACTTAATAGCTCAAAGTCAATTAACTTAGTAAAATTTTTCGTAAATTGAGATTTTTCTTTAACGATCAATATTTTTAAAATTTTAAAAATTCAAATCCAAATCAAATTCAAATCAGGGTCAATTTGATTTGATCAAATTCAAATTGACCTAATTTTTGATTTGCTTTGATTTTGAGGAACCCTAGCTATGATATTCTTGGAAAGCTTTTATAAAATTCTTTTAGATTTTGTAATCATCATTAATAAAGTATATAAAGTCTAAATATGGCTTTTAACAAATGATTAATCTTTACATCGGCAACTGTTATTAGCTACCTAGTTACTTTTCACCTATACTAAAATTTGTTCAATTATTAAAGGGTCAATATATATATGTTAAAAAGACCATTTTTAATAATAATATGAAATAAAGTAATTGTGAATTTGTAATTTTAAATATGGTCTTTTTGTTTATATAACTAAATTTAAATTTAGCTTTGAAGCGAACTCATTCAATATTTTAAAAGTAAATGAAAATTTTAAATTTATCAAAAAAATCCAATATGTAGATAGCATTGGTGTTCTTATCTAGTGATTATCCTCCTTTTAGAAGTAAGGATCAAATTCAGATTGGTGCATTGATTTTGATAATAGAATTTTATCATAATTTATTGAAACCCAGTTCATTAACTGTAGTTTGCAATTCATATCTTTAAATCATGCAAATTAGCGGAATTAAATCTAAAAAAAGCAAGGTAATTAGTAATCCTGATATATAGATAATGAGGTTCAATATAGATATTCCATGGAAGGGTAATAAAATGTGCGTGAAGACTGAAAGAAAGTCTTACAGATAAATAATTAAATAACAAGTTCGTGTCTGTATTGGTGTGGCGCAAGATATCGGATAATCCGTATATTCATTTTTAAATGATTTCTGAAAAAAGTACAACTTGACAAAAATAAATTGTCAAAAAAGAAACGGAGCATGAAGACTAAAAGAAAAGACTAAGTCATTTTTGTGAATATTGACATCATTTAAATAAAATTCTTTGTGCATTTCATCATGAAATTTCATTATTAAATGATTTTTAAAACAATGACTTCTTGAGCATTTCCGAGTGGTTAACTATACCTTTTCAATATATATTTAATTTGAAATTATATATATGAAGAATGAATATTGCTGAAACAAGAAATGTTTAAAGTCTATATGGTCTTTTGAACGAACAGTTATTTTTACAGTTTTACTGTTTTACTATAGCCAAAAATACCATTTCACGTAAACAATAGTTTGTTTTCATTAGTCTAACAATCAGTTTCTCAGCATCTGCTAATCAGACTTTAATGATCTTACTACCACTAGCATATATCCCATATGCATCAATAAATTTAATAAAATACTTTATT